ATAAAGTACTGCTCTGTGGTCAGAATGATAAATGTTGTGTATAAAGTACTGCTCTGTGGTCAGAATGATAAATGTTGTGTATAAAGTACTGCTCTGTGGTCAGAATGATAAATGTTGTGTATAAAGTACTGCTCTGTGGTCAGAATGATAAATGTTGTGTATAAAGTACATAAAGTACTGCTCTGTGGTCAGAATGATAAATGATGTGTATAAAGTACATAAAGTACTGCTCTGTGGTCAGAATAATAAATGTTGTGTATAAAGTACTGCTCTGTGGTCAGAATGACAAATGTTGTGTATAAAGTACTGCTCTGTGGTCAGAATAATAAATGTTGAGTATAAAGTACATAAAGTACTGCTCTGTGGTCAGAATGATAAATGTTGTGTATAAAGTACATAAAGTACTGCTCTGTGGTCAGACATACTTGCAGATCTTGTTGGCAGAGGGGCTTCCTGCCACTCCATAGAAATTAAAGGACACCGGGGCAGTTGCCTTCAGGGGGTTTCTGTGAAACCAATGTGCCATCGTGTGGGTTCAGACACACCTGCAGCACGGAGTTAAACAAACAAAATGACAACAGGCTAAAGAATGAGTGTCAACACTAAGGAGATTCATGTAACCAGCCAAGCCGAGTAATAATGATGTTTTCTAATGACAGTGTGTTCCAGGCTAACGTTATTTCGACAACAATCCGCCGTGTTGGAAACCTTACGTCTTTCTAAAGCCACCTTAAAACAACAAAGGCATGTATCAATTACCTTTTACTTTACACAGTCATGATTTAGGTCTTATTCAGATACTGGGATATTTACTGCTGTAGACAAAAGTCCATTACGTCAGCTACAGAGACAGCTAACGGCTAACTAACATTGGCTACACCTACAAACGTGAACGTGAACACTTCAAGATAAGTGACTATTTACACAAATACACACATTTTAGTCGTTTAAGTTTACGTCGACTTTAATTGGCTACCTGTAAGAGTGTTGCTGAAGATTTAAGCTGTGATAGTCTGGGAACTCCAACAACTGACTTCCGGAAATAAACACGCAGTGGACACTGACCAATGAGAGTCAATCCTTTGGTCACGTGACACGCTTCTCGGTTGTAGCGCCGTATATTCAGTATATGTTTAAGCCTTTACGAGATAATTTCACTGCGTTTTATTAAAAATATTTGTGTTTTGTTGATGTAACAATTGTTACTCTAGACAACAGACATGTGCTGCTGATATTGAAGAAATTATTTTGAAAAGAAAAGTCAAAAATAAATATCCGGCACTATTCTCTGAGAGTAGCATTTTAAATATATTTT